GAAGGCCTTCTTCAAGTCGATGAACGTGAGACAAAGCGGCATCTTGTACTCCTCGTGAAACTTCAATGAGTCTCGTAACCGTGTGGATATGGTCGATCGTGCTGAACCCTCTTCGAAACCCTGCTTGCTCGCATGGCTGTCCTTCATCTAGTATTCTGCCGATCCTGTTAAGGATGACTCGAGTGAATAGCTTGTAGATTACAGACAGCAGGCAGATTGGGCGATAGTTGCCAATGTCGTCCAAGGTCTCCCTTCTTGTACAGCAACACGGTCCTGCTGGTTTTCCACGGAGTGGGTACCTTGCATTCCGACAGGTAGCGCGTGAAGAGTCGAGCCAGAGTTTTGATGATAACTGGCGGCGCATTCTTCAGATGTTCCGGTTTGACCCTGTCGAGACCGGGTGCTGTACGATTCTTCACCGACTTGATGGCGTGTCGGACTTCGGAAGAGAGAACTGAGGGGACGACGTATCCATCCTGTTAAGTAGCAACTATGGCCATGGCTTAATCGAAGAGATCCAGAGTAAAGTCGTGATGACTTTCTAATCCATTGCCCCTTCGGATGACCTTAACTTCGTCCATTCGGTATTTATAACTGTTCCATCCGGACGTCGGAGGCAGGTCATCTTGGTCTTGTAGCTGGCAAAGCTTCGGCGGGCATTGCGGATGCTCCTCCCAGCCTCTGCTGCTTCAGCTAATACTGCTGCTCTTCGCTCCTTGAGATCTTCCTTTATCGCCTCTCTGCATAGCTTCGCAAGCTCGGACGTGAGTCGGTGATTGCCTGCAGCTCGTGCGGCTCCACGCTGGCGTATCAGTTCGAGAGTTTCCGGAGACAGACGTCCCTTGGTGACTTTCAAACTCTCTGCCTTCTTGCCACAATCGTGAAGATGTTCAACGAGCCGATAGTACTCCTCGTCGATGTTTTCGATGACGGAATCCTCCCATAAGCTGACGAGGGAAGCGAAGTGGTCCCAGTTGATGACTGTCCTGGGGCTTCGCTTCCTGAACTTTGCTGCTCTCTCAACACGCATCGAGAAGTGGAATCTTGCGCGGAGGAGACGATGGTCCGATCCCGTGTAGAACTTTGGAACAACAGCGACGTCGGTCAGGCAAAACCTTCGATTGAAGATGATGTGGTCTATCTCGTTATGGAACTGTCCATCAGGTGACTCCCAAGTCCAACGAAGGTGAGAGGGCTTCTGGAACTGCGAGTTACCATGGATGGTGTTGGTCGACATGATAAACTCAGACAGTCTTTCGCCCTGCTCATTCCAATCCATTCCGTGAGTACCGATGTGAAGTTCTTCAGCCGTTCTTCTTGGGCCAATCTTGGCGTTGAAGTCGCCGACGATGACCTTGAAGAAGGTATGATCTTCCTTGTAGAACTTCTCCAATTCCATATAGAATGTATGGGATTGGAGAAATCTACAGGGAATAAATGCTTCGTGTTTTCTTCGTCGTAGCTGGATGTTGGTGCGTAGGCGACGAAGATTGTCAAAGCAGGAGTTGAACCACATCTTCTCAATCTCAAACGTCCGATTCGGGTCGTAAGGCTTTCGTACGAATCGATGTTTATGGCCAAGTGCGTGTTGACGAGGACACCCACACCGCCAACGCCTCTGCTGTCGCATGTTCCAAGGAACAGTTCTTCTCCAGTATCGAAAACGGCGTGTAGCGGGCGGTGCCTTCTCGTCTCGGTCAGTCCGATGACGTCGTACTTGATCTTCCTGGCCTGCATCATCAGATCTTCGATGTGAGCTTCGGATGCAAGCGTTCGTGCGTTGAAAGTACAGATCGCCATCTTAGTCCTTCTTCGTTTAGGCAGCCTATCCGGGCCCTGAGATTCTAGCAGCCTCTCCCGAGCGGTCCTACCCAACGCTGCCGTATTGGGGGCTCCCTCAGGTTCAGGGGAATGAGGCCCATCCATATTGCTGTTTTCGGCATATTGAAGGCACACGAGTAGCTTGCCAGGCTCTGTCGTGCGGGCTAGGATAGACCTCCAGGTAGTTAGCCACGCTATCCTGGAGCGGAACAAGGGCTTATTTCTTGGAGGCGGCCCCGAATCGCCTCCCATGTACTTCCCAGTCACTTGAATGCAAGCTTTTGGCTGTGCCGACATGCAGGATACCAACCGCACACACACAGAGCGCACCACACACGCAAGCATGCATGGATACACCTGTATGGAGAAGCTGGTATGAATCGACACAGCACTACAGACAGGGAGTCCATCCCCTGAATCCACCTGCGTCTCAGGGCAAGTACATGGTGGCTTTTGGTCCGCGATTTACCCCCTATCCGCCACCTGGGGTCGCGCCACGTAGCCTCGCCACCAACCGGCTCGAGATCTTTCAGTGAGAGAGGACCCTCAGTGAAAGAGATCCGTGGCGTTCGGCTTATAGTATACATCAAATCTATGTTGTACAGTCTCCGAAAGAGTTCTAATGGAAACGGCAAATGCATGGGAACGGGTACTGTAAACAAAATATGCTATCATAGCCATATACGATTTGTGAACTGAGAATTACAAATCATACAATTCAATAACTACCTAAGATCAATGATGATCACTCCGCGAATACACGTTCCTCCTTTCAGATTATATCTAAGAGGCAGCACCTCATGCTGTGTAGCACTCTGCGAATTTCGTGACAGTTGCGTTCTACCGCATTCGGTTCAGAAGCACTCCAATTTCATGTCATCTACTGTGGCCTCCTGAATGCCCTACGAATCGGCCTGAATAGCGGCAGGTGAAATCCTGGCCTGCACCTTCAATGCGCTCAACTTTTCGCATTGCTCGATATTGCCGTAATTTGGGCACCGTTCAGCAAAATGGGGAACTAGATTTCGACGCCGCACAACCCCTCCCCTCATTCTCTAACGGCTTATCCTTGGGCCGCGACACCTCAGGGGAGCGGGTATGGAGGCAATTTTCATCCTCGCAACTGAACTTCATCCTCTCCCTCTCTCGTTCAGCATGCATAGTGGGCGCCCTGAGCGCAATTCGCTCGTCCAGCTGCATACCAGGGAGTTTTGTTGAAGGTACGCAGACCACTCCAACATCCAAGTCCATATCAGACACGAAAATTAAAGTGTAGGAGGCACGACTCACTGCATTCAAAGCCATCACCATCAGCCACGCACGTTGCGGCTATCTTTATTGAACTCTTGTCACCTGAAGTGCACTGATTACGCCTTAGAAAGTTTGCACCAATTTAATTGAATATACAAGGGAAGAAAAACGCTTCAACAGACATTTTGATCGAGATGGAAAAACCGTTCGGCTATGCTATCGCCTTTGAAATGGTGAAGCAAAAAAGGTGTAAATGTCGGTCGAGGATTTCATTGATTCATAGTTCTGACTACAGGGAGGAGGCTTCGGTATATTTAAAGGTAACTAAGTAGTAGAGAGCGAAATAATGATGACAATAACCATAAGAGAGAAGTAGCTATGTACAAAAATCAAAGGAAAAGAAATCAAAGTCCATTTCACAGTTACCGAAATGTGGGCTTTTGAGCATGAAAATGAAAGTAGGTACAGTAATCGGTTGACCACACATGAATTAGAGCAGGAAAACGGCCAGGACCATCAAAGTCACACGCTGCTTAGTATATGTGCAAAGACTGCAAAGACACTAGTCCATGTTCGACCTTCTTGCAATCTTGGCATGGTTAGTTCAGTAGGAATGATTCTTCAAGCCTTTCAAGATTGAACTTTTTATACAAGGCTTACGTTTCGGCTTCTTCGCCTTCGTCAGAGCCTGAAATGATCAAAAGCATGTGTAACTTGCTCGCTCAAACGCCTCAACAAAAAACTCAAGACTATTTCACTAGACTAGGAAACTTTCAAAGGTATTGATTCTGATAGAGGCATGGACTGCTCACCTTGAACTCCGCCGCTAAGATCAGGAGGACGACCATCTTTCGTACTAACTAGTATGTGGTAACTTAGAAGTACCTCCCACCGACCTCATGGTAGATCAAAGGTTACAAAGGTCGAGGAAGGGTGCGAGTTCGCGGGTTATAGCCACACACTCCTCCTTCCTGTTCATTTGAGGGTCTTTAGCAGTTATCCAAAATGCTTCCAGCGTCTTGCGCGCCGCGACCTCGGGTTCCAGCGCCAATATGGACACGGATACGCCAAACGATGAACCTGCGTGGTGTATAACCCGATGAGCTCCTAGGGGGTATGTGTTTGTGATCTACCCAGCCCATCCAGATGTTCCTTAACCCGCACGCATAGGGGGCGGCCTGTTTCCCCTATATACTCACTTCTACAACTTTGACAAGCAGTTACGGGGCCTGCCTATGGGGCAACGACTAGCGCCTGTGCTGGCCATAGCGTTCATGTCGAAAATTGAGAAACCCGTACTGGACCGTGGCCCAATCCTATATTACCGCTACATCGATGAAAGCCTTATCATATGTTCAACTCAGGAAGAAATTGACATTTGTTGCGACCTAAGCAGTCAGAAAAAAGTCAAATTTACACGGGAAAAGACCGTGAAGGATTGGCTACCTTTTTTGAATCTCAAAGTCCAGATAATACGGGACACAGTAAGAACGAAATGGTATCGAAAACCAATCGTAAAGACATAATTGTCTCATTAAGCCAATCGCGCAGCCCGAGCGAGCGAGCAACAACTCACACATGCTTTTGACCATTTCAGGCTCTGACGAAGGCAAAGAAGCCGAAACGTTAGCCTTGTATAAAAAGTTCAATCTTGAAAGGCTTGAAGAATCATTCTTACTGCCCAAACACTGGCGTGCTTCTCGTTGATGTGCTTCTTCTCTTCAACATGCCAAGGGAAAAGTGAACCATGTGAAAGGAGGCAGTGGTCTTGTTGACTCTACCAACACGTCTGGCATGGAATGAGCCTTAAAGGTTTTTAGCAACTTTCCCACTCTGAATTGTCGCTCACAACTAGCAAATGAAATTACAGGTCGAAAACACCTGCACCGTCAGACAGGAAAGAAGCTGACGAAACAATAGCGAAAAAAATGCAGGTGCGAATAATTGAGGTTATATCCATAGGAATGGAACTGCATCTGAATGTGTCAACTCCTTTTAAAGTAGACAAAGTTCCAGGTAAAGGTATTTGTTGAAGAAACACTCCGAAAAGGTGTTCAAGGCCTTATCGCTGAATTCAAAGGAATGAGGCGTATGAATGACTTCAATCTTATGACCGAGTTTGTGGTTCAGAATCCACTGGGCCGTAATAGATACAAGGTGTGCACGTTATGTTATTAATGATGCAGCATACGAAATGTTGCTCTCTAACCCGCCGTCTGACTTAGGCATTGCCTTTGGCTATGGTTACCCTTTACTGGTTTGAGTTAGGGAGTTCACTGAGCAGCGGCGTGTTGAAACTCTATTATAGCGCACCGTGATGACCCATTTTCGCTGCAAAACGGGTTTCACCGTGACCTACGTTGGTGCTGGGACACGAGTGTCACATGTCATCGTCGGTAACCGGCAGCAAGCCCGTCGCGCAGCGAGAAAGCAGAGAAAGAGGACCGGTGATCGGGCGAGTCGCGGTGCGTACTGTAGCGGTTGGGCTCCAAATTTAAGATAATGTTCTACAGTACGGCCTCCTTCACTGACTCCACCGCGCTGCGACTCCAGCTCTTCTCGCTGTTCGACAGGTCTGTCAAACACCCGTCATCGCCTTATTTGCCCTCTTGTCGACTTGTCTTCGCACTCCACGAAATGGGCGGCACCTGTACGGAGCGGTAATGTAGAATGGTGGGATATGGCAAGGAGTCGATTCATTCGGACGCTCGTACCCGTGCTAGATTCATTTGCGCGCTCCAGTGATCAACAGCGCGCTCCAGCGCCAACGTAGGATGAAACCAATTTAACGTGCCGAAATATTGTTCTGTTCACTTTCGCACAGCTAGTAGTGTAGCCCGCACAAAGACATTTTTGACGAAGTCTTCACCGCACCACCACAGTTGCTTCTTTTGACTTACGTCTACTCTCCACGATCAGCTGACTGGCAGTCTCTTCCGTAGTTAAGATGACCGCTCCAAAAGGGCAAAGGTGGCGCCCACCCCACGAATTGAAATCAATTGCAAAATAAGTTGTACCGAATAGCTAGTTCGATAGAGGGATGCAGACCGCGAAACGGTTTCGAGTAATCACGCCGTTTCCAATCAATTACTTATTAACAAACGAAATTTACGGTGCGACCAAAAAAATGCATTGCAACGACGAACAATTTACAGTGCAAAATAGAAAAAAAATGAAAACCGGGTCCACCTGTATCGATTGAGGCGGTTAAAGGAATCTCGGCGAGGGCAGTGCTCCAGAACCACACACGATGTCATCGTCCCTTTTATACGTTCTATTTCCCGCCTCCCTTTCTTCTCTTGAAGGGGCAGATCACTGACCTGTTCAGCAAGGTCCACATTGCTTAATCGAGGTATCCTCATGTTGTTTAGGATGTTGGTTGTCTCGACAATTTTCGGGTCATACTTACCATTGGAAATGTACAATACATTCATGCAAACTATGTTTCCACACCAGTCAGTGCGAAAAGGTTTATTTGTACTCAGGTACAGCCATTTGCACT